TTTGAAAACTTGTAGCTTTTTAATTCACGATGGGGTTTTGTAATTTTTACATTTTAAGGTTTTTTTGTAAGATCAAAAGAGGAGTGAATATGAAAGTTAACAAGTTTTATACAAAACTGAAGTAAAAAAAAATTCAAAACGTTCTTCCTAAAAAAGCGACCTTTTAAAATTTTTAGGTAACATTTTTCGAAGGCACAAATTCTTATACAAAACATTAAAAATGCAAAGCGGTATCTTTGTGGAACATCAATTACACTACGATTAGCGTCAATAGACTGAAAAAATCTCTAATTTAAGCAGCATTTCAGCGCTTGCGTGAATAACAGGGACTCTGTTTCAACCAAAACATTATGATCCATAACAATATATAATGTATGTGATTTAGTGAAAAATCTTTTAATTCTGTTGCTTCAGTAACTGCGTATTTAGTCAAGATTTCTTCTTGATAATGGTACAGTTCTTTCGGAAAAATATTACTGCTACGATTACTCTTTCGATTTGTATCGCTTTGCTTCATTATTGAACCCTTCTAACCTGAATATTTTACACTTAGTACTGTTTTTACAGTGCGAGTATTGTTTTGCTATTTTTGTCTTCAGCACCTAGTGGTGACAGTGGCATCGAGTTTACTTCCTACGTCATGTTTGAAAACCTGGGACTGCAAAATTTCTCCCTGCCTCAAGCAGGGGCTTCAATATATATCGCTTTGTAGAACGTCCACCCACCCAACCACTTATAAACACCTTGAACTACTGTAAAATCTAGTCATATGCCTTCCACACCACCAGCCCCAAATGCCGTCTCTGTTCCCGATTAGTTCACCATCCAAGATAAACTTATATAAAATTCAGAGACAGTAATCCAACAGCAAAGCTGCCGAATAAAAATGAGACTTAACCTCCTAGATGATGCAAAATACTTTTCAGGTAATGGGAAGATGCGTAATCGATGCTGAGAGCGAACATTGGGCAAATGTGCGCAACAACCCTCGACGCCAAATAGCCGAGTGGCACACCTTGTTCAAATGGTGAACTGCATTACAGGAACCCATAGCACAGTACCACAGTTGAAAACGCCACCACAACGTAAACCTGACAGCCTAACAATGCATTATTCGTAAACGGACCGTTTTAACACTTCTAACAACTACCCGTTTTACTATGATACCTTTTTCAGTCCACATTTGAAACAAAGAGATCAGTTTAGCACCCATTGACCAAAATTTAACACACCACACCACCACAGGCAGCAAAGACTCAATCCTACATACCGTCCCCATAAGCTCCCGCGATCATGACCCAACGGCTTGCTGGCTTCTACCAAAAAACAAAAGCCCATGATACAACACAAATGACGTCACACAGCCTCACTGAAACCACTAACAACAACGGTGGGCGACAAACATATTAAAGCGAAATTCAGCACACTCTTCCCCACCACAAAACTGACACTAACTTAGAAGCTGCTGCTATCCAAATAAAATTTGAAATCTCGATCAACAGAAATGGTAACTTTGAAATCCCCTAAACACCCCCCTCCCCCGCTAAAAATTTCAAGACAACCGCACCAGCCCATCAATCCCACCCGGAAAATGACATCTCGGACTTCTATCCTTCACAAGTCCACAAATAACTCAGTTTGTTGTGAAAATATACCACAAACCGAACCACTACCAATTCCCAGAGTACCAGCCACCTTTAACCAATTACCCACAACACCCGTTCAAACCACCAAAAGAAGTTAAAGAAGCACCAAACAACCACCGAAAAACACGTCCGTCTCCTTACAACCGCTCCAAGCGAAAATAAAAACGAGAACAACTTTTACACTGCCAAAAGCAGACATCCCTGCCCAAAGTCTAACCCTTCGTATGAAAACAGATGAGATTATTAAGAATATATAACGAGCAGAGCAACAATACTACTGTCTCCAAACAACTCGTAATAAATAATAAATTGTGAGAACAAAGAGAAAATAGAATTCACAACATTGCAAAATTGAATACTGAATACAAGCCAGTTTCAAAAAATTTAAATACCTCCAACAAATTACATAGGAAAGCAAGATACAGTTTATTCAATCATCGAATTACTCGTGGTATCTAATAAATATAGTTTGATATTAATTGCTGTTAATGATCTTCGAAGCACGCTGGGCAGAGTCAATTGCATTCTGTCCCCTCGAAGCTGAATGTGTCCGTTCGTGCTTTGTCAAGTGATCTGACCTCATGAACTTCTTCAAACACTGTGAGCATGTGAAGCGTTTTTCTCCTAAAAAATACCACCAATAATAAACCGACTTGACCGGGGACATCCAATAAAATAATGCTTCTTGTATTAAAAAAAAAAAAAAAGATATGATGCAGAGTGAGATCTTACCAGTGTGAGTTCTTCTATGTCTTTGAAGCTCATCGGAACGGGTGAATCTTTTCTGACAGTGGGCCCAATCGCAAGCAAATGGTTTTTGACCAGCATGGCCCCGAAGATGGGCACGCAAGTGAGAAGTCTTGCCGTAAGTTTTCTGACAAAGATGGCATATATGTAGCCTCTGCTTTTCACCACTCCTGTAAACAGAAATCGCATCTGATGTAATAAGCAAGACTAAAAAGTCACAACAAGTGAAAAGCTTATTGAGATGCTTTTAATATGCCAGAAATCCTGTACAAACGTGTAACGTACAATTTTGTGTTGGCGTTATTCTGACAGTTCGGACAATTGCACGCGGTTCTTTTCGGAGTCTTTTGCTTGAATGGGCTACTGAGAGTCCCTCCAGGCCCTACACTCGACCCACTGGGAGCTATATCATAATCCGATTGCCTAATTATTGACGAAGTACTCTGAGTGATAGAATTCAAGCCTTCTCCATTGTCACTGGTTATAATCCATTTCTGAGGATCATTCGGATCTTGCACGAAGTTCAAGCTGCCTAGAACAGCGGTTTTGCAAACGTATGATAGATGGAGCCAGAGATCTTTAACTCTATATTTAATCAGCTTGAATAAACTCATTTGACTCGGTTAAAAAGAAAAATTCCCTATATCGCCAACACAAGCTCGCAATTAGCCGCATTCTTCATTCATAAAGAAACAAAGAGTTTTGAAAGATAACTGAACAACCAAACCTAATGTGATTCGCTGCTGACTAACAGAAGAACCGAGAGTAGTGATTTCCGATTTAGGAGTATCAATCTGAGGCATTTCAGAAGTATGAACCTGTTGTAAGCTCGGCTGAGCTTGCAAGTTTGTCACAACTGGCTTCGCTTCCGGTTGTGGCTGCATCTGTACCGGAATAAAGGTGATCTAAAACTCAAAGGTACTACAAGAAAAGTGGCAAAATATCCTTGCCAGTCACCACAAATCGAAAATTTACTTCTGTAAACATGTGCTATAGTGTCACCCGAGGAAAGGCTCCACCAAATTTACTAAATGTTACACCGCAATTGCGTCTGCTTTAAAAGTAACTCATGATAAATCTAAAAGGCTGTTGTAAAAAATCGCTAGAAAAAAAAGACAAGATAAAGAAGAGCAATGACAAAAACAGAGAACCTGGCAAGAACTAACTTGTTGCGGCGGATTATTCGGCCCATTTGCTGGCTGCTGTACAATATAAAGTTGGCTTTGCTGTTGCGCGCTACCTGTAGTGTGAATCGGAATTGTTGGCGTTGAAAGCGCAGGCTGCTGAATCACTATAAACTGCTGCCCCTGATGTTGCCCACTAACTGGTATCAACTGAACTTGGGCCGGCTGTTGCGGACCCTGATGTTGCGCAGCAATAGGAATAAATTGAACCTAGAAATAAGTGGTCTAAGAATCTCAAAAGTATTCCGAATTTTCTGTATAGATAGTAAATAGCGAATCATATCAAAAATTAATAATCCAAAAAAAAATTATTTCATTTAACAAATAAACCTCAATTTGTGGAGCATATTCTTCTAAGAGGTATTAATCACTCTGGCTAAAATCACAGCAATCCCAGATGGAAAATATTATAACAAACCAGATAAACTTTACCGAGCCGCACTACGAACTCAAAAATGCCGTTTAAAAAAAACGTAATGAATAACACTCAGTTATAACAGTAATTTAAGAGCTTCCTCACCATTTAAATACTTCATATTTACCATCCCCGCATACAAATTCTAGAAGCATTTTCAAAAAGTAAGCAAGCAAGGGTATCTAAATATGAAACGACAACTTACGTTTTCTACTCAGGAATGGCTCTTTTGTACCCTAAACTACTTCTTAAATAAAATAAAATAATATCACTGTAGAGGAGAAGGTCAAATTCTCAATCTTCCTTGACTTCACATAATGGGAATTTCTCGGCATCAAAAACGACAACCTCCTTTCAAATTTTCAAATGTCTTCAGACTCGAAGTCTCTTGTAATGTTAGAAATTCGACAATTAAATTTCATCTCATCGCGAGTCTCAGGATAAACACTTCAATTACCACAAAATATTTGGATGAGTCTTCTGTTCAATTCCTCATCTGAGAGTATAATTTCAACATTAAAAAGCACCTCAAACTGGGTAGTAATCCAAAAACTGATAAAACACTAAAAAAAGTCACTAAAAAAGAAAAAAATTCTAAAGTGACGCTCTTGTAAACTGCCGGCACATGCGAGCTAAGCATACCAGTTATCTTTCTACAAAATTTCACCACTTCATACCACGAAAAAAAAGCACGAGTTTGAAAAGAAGCATATATGTTGAACAAAGCATCAACCCATCCTCCATGGCCCCCTCTAACCAAACTTTAGCGAAGGATAAAACTGATTTCTAACACCAGTCCCAAATAGTGACGCTCAAGTTCCTTCTATTTTCCTTAATTCACTTGGGAGGTGCTCTAAAAAACCGCTTATCAGAAGTAGCTTCACTCAAAAACAGGTAAAATCTTTCTTATGAACGATCCCTACACACAAAACAAATTCACCGTGAAACTTCGGGAGTTTTTAATAATTCTACAAACTTCCAATCCCTAAAAAAATAAGCATTAATAAACTCAAAAAAAAAAATCTAAGGCGCAAACCACCATCGAGAAAAGTATAAAAGTACTACTTATTCACCACTTACAACAGCAGTAACTCAACTCAACAGAAAACGCCAAAAACATGAATTTCTTGAACATCCTCGTACGAAATAAATTCCTTTTACTCAGTGCCAAAAAACAGCTGCAAATCTGGTTCCTTTAAAGTTACTTTCACAAACAGTGATTGATAATGACACTCCCGACAATGACCGGCTTAACTTTAACTCAGTCCCCCACATTTCTCATACCAGATACTTTGAGGGAACACGCACTTTTTGGAAAAAATAGAATAAAATCTTCTTTTGATGATCCACCAGGAGCAAACCATGTTCATGAAAGCTCTCCTTTGGTCCATAGCAAACTTGCAAAAAACTTCGAAAAAATCTTTCAGTAGGAGTCAAACAAACAGAACCAATAGATGGTCTGCTCATCGGCCCATCACTCATGACTCCCTGTGGAAACATCAGGAGTGCCTTTATTTCTGTCGTCTCCCAAAGAAAACTCACTTCGGGAAACGCCGAAACTGCAACATTCCGAACACCGCGGAGGTTGCAAAATCCAACTAGTAATCAATAAGAAAATGAAAGCGAGCTCCAACACCTCTTCCAAGCCATTTGTTTAACAACATAACCACACCCCCCGAATTTGCTCCACATATTTCGTCAGGTACTCT